AAAAAAATATTCCGACGAACTGATAACCTCCTCCTTTTTTGGAAGTCGGTTAAAAATATAAGGGCTGTTCTGGATCTTGTGCATGTGCTCTTATATTTGCATATTCGGTGCATTTGTAAATTCACAACAATAAAATGCACACGGTTCCATGGCAGCAAGCATACAATTTGCAAATGCAAATCCAAGACCATTTCCCCAACATACTGAACAGTTTATCCTTTAACAAATACCGTATAAAACAAAGTTTCAAACCATGTGCAATATTTAAGAAAATTTCAAAAAACTTTCATAATTTTAATTATATTTCCTAAAGAGACTTTCAGTATATAAATTTGTAGTCCATTCAATTTTAATATAATAAAGGGTGATTAAAATAGCTAGGGCTTACGGTTGATTTTTGGTAATTTTTTTCTGGCGGTGTTTCATCCATACGAAATATGTTCGAAATCTTTCTGAGAAATCTATTTAAAAAGCTTACAATTTTTACGAAAGTTTGTTCAGTTTTTTTTTTTTTTAATATTGCACAAAGTTTGAGTCCTGGATCTATAAAGTATTTGTTAAAGAATGAACTATATTTTCATAAAACATAATGAAAAATAAATAATAGAAAAAATACAGTGTGGTGCGCTAATAATTCTGGCACCGCTCTATGTATGACTATCAAAACTGCACTTACTGCGCTATTTTTGTTGCTAGCAACTTGACATTATTACGCACAATTAATGCTTTTGCAAGCGGCTTCTGTGTCATTTAGTTAGTTAGTTAAATTTCAAAAATGTTCAAATTGTTTTTCCGTACTTTAAATAAATTTCATGACGATGTTCTTTCGCAATCGCTTTTGTGCAAAGTAATGTGGCGCTCAAGTTTTAAGTCATTTAGCGCTATTACCCTATGGAAAATCAATAAAATCGAATTCATTTTGCATGCAGTTATGCTAAAGTTTAGAAAATGTCAAAAACTTGCGCAAAACTGTGGTTGCTTGCCTGGCGCTTTGTGCGAAAACTTTCAAATCTGTGGCAACTCTCGCAGGGGAGCAAGCAAGCAAGAAGAACCAGCTACTACAAAGATTTTAACTGCCAGAACAAAATAAATTTATTGATATTTGAGAGCGTATTTGTTTACGCTTTAGCATGACGTGCAAGCTTTGTGTGTGTGTGTGTGTGTATGGATATATACTTATTTTGGTTGATTTTGAAAATATTTTGTCTTGCTAAATGCTTTTGTTTGTCTCTTAAATGCGCACGATTATACCGAGAGATGTATGTACATACGTAAATACATATTTCTTTGTAGGTATGTATGTATAACTGCCTCAAGTTGACCATTAAAATCTGCCTTCGTTCGCGTCATAGCAGGTACTTTCACTAATGAATTGTCAAAACTTTCCATTTTACTTTACTTTAGAAAATTTCAAACTACCAAATTGATGCCATGAAATTAAAAGCAAGAAGCACCAAAACTTCCCGGACATGCTACAACTTTCCGCCATTACTATTAAACTAGAGAATTCACTTCATCTCTCTAGTTCATAAAACTATGCACTCTGTGGTAAACTCACCTGCCGCGCGTGTAATAAGTTTTTGGTAGAAAACTTTTTAAATTTTTATACGAGATAACCGATGCGAATATCGTTGAGTTGGCCATTATGTTGAGCAGGCTGGTGGAGAGTCCAATGTCCACGTAAAGTTGATCCGCGAACAAATCATCGCTGAGGAGAAGAAAGAACAAAAAAAAATGATGAAGAGAAATAGTAACTAATTAGTTAGAGATTTTTTTTATAGATTTCATTTTATGCTGGAAAGGTTAGAAAGTATGAATGAGTAGATTTTGAAAATAATTGAGAAAAATGTTGAGCTTTTTTTTGACCTGCGAGTGATTTGAGCAATTTTACGTAATAGACCACCCGCCCACCGCTTTCATTGGAAAACGGAAAAATGTGAACCACAAATTCGGAGATGGCCAACTTGTGGTTAAACTGAGCGGAAGTCCATCTTTTTAAAATGGATATACATGTTTTTCCTACAGCTTCGGATTCTGCCGATAAATATAAGTAACTGCTGTTTGCAAAATTTTTCTAGGAAGTGCCATTTTCTCTCTGTAAAATGCCATTAGAATTTCTACTCGCACTGGACTGTTAAAATTGGCGAAAATGTTTTTATTTGAAAACGAAACCCAAATCGGGGAGGCTCTATCTTTTGGTCGTATTACCAACTACCCGTTTCGTCCGGAAATGGGTTACACTGACCGGAAGTCGATTTTTTTTTTTTAAATGGGACCCAGTCTGCTTTTTGTCAGAGAAAAAAATTCCGGAAACTTCTCTTTCGTATCGATGCAACATTTAGTTACTTTATTCTCCGGTGATTTTATATTGAATTTACTGAAGTTTTTTTTGAACTTTGCATTTAAAACTTAGTTAAGAAGTATCGTGCTTACCCTACCGTTATTTATTTTTTTTTTTTTTTATGTTATACCGGTATAATAAGAGAGAGCTGATTATTTTATAAAAATGGGTATATAATAAAGATTGACTGATATACCTATGGAAATCTAATATTCTGATTTAATAATATTCATTACGGAATCGACTTAAAGCGATAGCTTTTCACCTATTAAGATCAAAATATTTGCAGTATAAAATTTCAACAGTGCCCATTGTTGTGCTTACTAATATTTAACAAACTTTGTCTATCTTTACCAAACAGTTACATAATTTCAAAAAATCTCCAATTGTCCTGCAACGTAAACGAATTAAGTCTTCTAGTACTACACTCTTTCCCATTTCCGCCTTTTCTCTCTCCCAAAAATCTGCATATACTCACCCGTAAATCCTCAAATTGAACGGCAACGTTTTCACTGAAGTCATATAGATGCGCAGCGAATTTAAGCGATCCAACGACAAAGAATCCTCATCGACTGTGAGTATGCTGTTGGCACCACCAACACCACCAACACCACCAGTACCACTACCGCCAGCATCGTTCCGCAACAATGTAGCTAACGCTGAATTGGCTGAAGTGGAGCGTGCCGGTGACATGGCATTGCCAGCTGTTGCCGAGCTCGATGCGCCGCCGTCATCTGTGTGTGTTGTAGTTGCCGGAGCAGAGGCCGAGGATGAGGATGATATTGCACTATTGCCTGCTGCTGTGGCTGATGATGCAGACGTTGCGGCCGCAGCCGCTGCTGCTGCTGCTGCTGCTGCTGCTGCTGCTGCTGACGTGGATGATGTTGATGTTGCTAATTGAGATGCTGCAATTGTTTCACGGTTCAACGCTGCTGATTGTGTTAAGAGTTGCAATTTTTTAATTTGCTGCAAGTGAAATAGGAAAGTGAAATAGTTAGGTCGAAAAAAAAGAGTATTAACAACAGGAAGTTAAGTGAAAGGTAATCGTTTGTTAAGTGAAGAAGACGTACGTAATTCAATTACGCCGTGAGCATACAGCAGTGAGTCTCTTTGGGGTAGTAGTTAAGCGTGAGTAATTGAGGTTAGTTGAAGTTTTCAAGTCTTGGCGTGTTGGCTTTGGGGTTTGCATGTTGCGAATTCGAGTTTTAAATTGTATTTTGTAATTTCAGTTTGGGTTATGTAGTTTTGTTGGAAACGGAGATCAGATGCAAAGACATTGCTTCCATCCCATCTCTCTGTCTCTTTTAAGG